CCGACGCACTAACACGGGATGAAGACACGGGAAAAAAGGAAGCAATTACGTTACATGTGGGACTAAATATCTTGACAGAAGAAGAAGGTGTATTCTCATTAAATGAAATAAGAAGAGATCAAGGAGAATTAGAGGAAAAAGAAAAAAGAAGAGCGGAGATGGAAAACGACATATATTTCAAGAGAATAGACGGAAGGGAACTATATTTGGTGACACAAACATTGGCAGAGAAGATTATAAAGAAATTGCATGAAGACAATGGACATATCGGCAGCAGAAAAGTTTGGCTGGTGTTTCGAGAAAATTATATTTGCCGACAGGATTACCGCATTACAAAGGAGATTACACAAAAGTGCCCGATCTGTCAAAAGTATAAAATTAGGAATTTCAAGAATGAAAACGTTACGAAAAATATTATATCCCGGAACAAATTAGATATTGTAGCAATAGATATATTAAGCGATCTAATTATGACAACGAAGAGGAATAAACATGTTTTAGTCATGATAGATGTATTTTCAAAATATGTAAAATTATACAGTTGCCGGACCACGAAAGGCGAAGAAATAATGAGAAACATCGACAATTTTATAGCCACCGTAGGAACACCAAGAAGGATTCTTCTAGACAATGCAACATACTTCAGGAATGATCGTTTCAAGGGACAACTTCGAGAACGGGGAATAGAGACAAATTTTGTTAGCATCAGACATCCTCAGAGTAATCCTTCGGAACGATGTATACAGGAAGTGACGAAATTTCTTCGAATTACAACAGATGGTCAACATCGACGATGGGATCGGAAAGTGTCCGAAGTAGAAATGTATTTAAATACCATCCCAAGCACCGTAACGAAAGAAACCCCAGAATATATAATGAAAGGGATAATGCCGATAAGGCCATGGGAAGATATAAAACAAAAGGAATACACACAGATAATGGAAGATGTGCAAAGGAGATTGCGGAGAGCAAACGAAAAATATATCCAGAGACAAGATCAAAATAGGAAAAGAAGACCAGTTACTTTCCAAAAAGGTGAGAAGGTTATGGTGAGAGCATTGCGAGTGTCCAACATCCCTGGCAATGTATGCGCAAAGTTAATGCCTGTTTTTGAGGGTCCTTACGTAATAAACAATGATAATGGTATAAATAGTTATGTTTTGAAGCATTTGGATTCAGACAAGATTAGGGGAATATATAATATCAACGATGTTTATAAATATTATGAATAAGAGACAAAGAATGTTTGCATAAGAGAAAAATCCCTACATAATTCAGTAATTTTTATCATATGCAAAGGCGGGGATTTATTATACTTCTTCTTCCACAAACGCGGAAGGAACAAAAATAATTAAGGAATCCATCGGAAGTAAGTTTTTAAGAAATCTGAAGACAAAATATGTATTAATTTTAAGATAGAAAGTTGGTATATTTGTAAATAGATAGATTAGTACCGAAATTTTATGACTTATAAAGAACTAAGCCATTCTAAACGAGTTATTGACAAACCATTTGTACATTATAGAAAATAAGCTGTTACCTGAAGGATTAGTCCGGTATTGTGTTGTATAAATCTTCTATTATGACTAAGGCAAAAATCTTTGAAATGTATAAAAATTATTTGTTTACAAGGAAATGACCATTGTTAAAAGATTAAAGTTCCTTGCTTGAAAACGGTAATTAGCATTCCAACAAGTGTGGTAAACAAATTTGGATTTTGTGATGAGACGATTTTTTTGGAAGGAGAAATCGACAGACCGAGGGTTGATAGAGTTTTTGTGGGTTCGAGAAGACAGTGATGTTTGAGTGATCGAAAAGAAAGGTTGCGTCTCGACAGGCGGTGTGTTCGTGAGTTGGAGGCCGGCATTGTTAAGTGGATAAAGTTACCAGTCTTGTTAGCAGAATTGTGGAAGAAGTAGATTGCAAGTCGATGTAAAGAAATCCTTGAATCTAAAGTGTGCAGTTTCTGGAATACGTGTTAAATAGTTGTGGCACCAGGTGAGAAAAGAGATCCTTGGGTCACGAAGAAGTTATATGAATGTTTGAAGAAGTGATTTTCGTGTGTTAAGTGTTGGAGAATTGAGTCAGGAGGTTAAATTAAGTCAGTTAAATTGGCTGAAGGAGCAGATACTGAAACAAGAAGCCGAGGCGCAAGGTGGAAGAACACATTGCTGTGGAAGGTAGACAATTCTTTGTGTGGTCCTAAAACAATCCAGGGAAGAAAGGTCAGATATTTTCCTTTTTCAAGTTGAAAGGTGTGTAAATCTTAAATGCGATTTGTTTACCTCATTGTTGTTACCAGTTTAAAGCATGATTAGACCTTTTTACATTTATCAAATGTTTTAAAGTTTTGTTTCCATAATAAAATAGATTTTTTAAATATAAGGAAGATAAAAGTTTATAAAGGTATCAAAATTTAAATTAGTTTCAAATTGTTTTGTCTCAAGAAGAAAATAAGAATTAAAATTTTCTTTTTGTATTAATTTCATTACATGCATATTCGCTGATTGAAAAGATAACGGCAAATTTAATAATTGTTTTTTTTTTATAAAATAAAAAATATCTGTATTTTATGTATTATACTTTTTATTATTATCCTTTGTTTTTCCTATCCCGATAAATACAACTAGAAAACTTTGAACTCACTGAACATAAGAAATATCAGAAGTTTATTTTTTAGGACATTGATAACGAGAAAGTATATTTTTGTGATTGTTTCAAGTAAATAAATTAAAATCAAAAATACAAAATCATAACAATATATATATATATATATATATATATATATATATATATATATATATATAAGTGGAGAAAAAAGAAACCAACTATAAACGTCCGTACCCCTGCTCACAATATTGTTGTACTCCACTCGATCCGTTCAAAAGTAGAAAAGTCAACGAGTCCCGTTTGTTGTATATAGTCTTGTTTGTTGTCAAGAGAACTAACGAAAAACTCACAACTTTTCGGCCAAAATATCAACAATATAAAAAAGACAAATTCGAGTTGACTGATACTGATGAAATAGAATTGGGAGCTTTCTTGGGACTACTTCTGTATACTTCTATTTATATTTAAGTCAAGTCATGAGGATGTACGAAGTCTGTTTGCTGCGAACGGGAAAGGACGGTCTATATTTAGATATCAGTTATGTGGCAGAAACGTTTCCTGACCCTGATGGCCGCCTTAAGGTTTGACGATGCCTCGGACCGAGAACAAAAAGCAAGCGATAATTCAGCTGCTTCTGTCCAAGAATTCTTTGACTTATTTGTAAGTAATTTAAAAGATGCATATATGGTTGGGAAAATGTGTGTAGACGAAATGCTGGTAGGATTCAAAGGCAGATGTTGCTTGTACCTTGTAAATATGGGATAAAAATCTTAGGAATGTCTGATGCACGAACTGGGTATTTATATAATGCTTACATTTATGCTGGGAAATGTTCAGATGGATTTAGCCTCACAACTGAAGAAAGAAGAATGAGCATACCTACTCAAGCAGTTATAAGATTAGTCAAACATCTTTACAATCCTAATAGAAATGCAACTGGAGACAACTGGTTTAGTTCAGTGGATTTAGTACATCATCTACAACAATATAAACTCACTTTCGTTGGCACAATGTAAAGAAATAAAAAATAAGAAGTTATTCCACAATCCTTTCCGCGACCAAATCGTAATGAAGGCGACACTTTGTATGGATTTACCAAACACTACTAACACTTTTATCCCGTACAACTAAGAAAAATAAAGCTGTGATATTAATTTCTTCCGTGCATCATTTCATAGAAGTAGATGCAGATAATGGACTACCAGAAATAATTTCTTTTTATAACTTGACCAAAGGGGGTGTAGACCCGATGGATGAAAAGTGTGTAAAATATTCTTGTAGCCGCAGAACACGTAGATGGCCCATGGCTATTTTTTTTTATAAAATAGCAGTCGTAGGGGATACAAGGTGATTCTCTCAAGTCTAGCGTAGTCTATAAGCTTTATTTTTAATGGAACACCCCGTATATTTTTATATTTTTAAAAGCTGCTTAACAACTTAATCTCAACGAACCATATCATGTATGGTCTATTATGAACAATACAGGGTGAAATTTCGAAACTATAAAGTATGGAAGCCACTTCTGGAATAAAATTGATTACATCCTTGTTTTAGAAAATAAAAAAAAAAACGCTAGGACATGTCAACTTTTAAATCCAAATATGCGCTTTTTAAGCATAAATTTAAACATACAGGGTGATTCACGCAACTCTAGCATAGTCCATCCATCCAACCGACACTTTGAAGCTCTAGAACTAACACACAATTGATTTCTTTGGGTCAAAGAACACTTTTGATTACCAGGTTCAAAGCTACCTATCTGCAAAGTTTCAGTCAATTTAACTGAAGTCAATGATGAATATAAAATTCTTAATTGTATGACAAAAAACGTGCAATAACTATATAATCCACCAAATTTCAATTTTCATACCTCAACCACTTTCAGAGCCAGAAATAAATCGTCAGTTTGTAATAAAAATTTCAACAGTCCGATCTTGGAAAATTAAATATTTGCGAACATACGATTATATAACAAACTGTTATTATTTTTTTGTCATGCAGAATCACTCCCTGAAGTTTGTTGTACTTGTTTACTAACACCCTGTATATTATATAAATTATGTATTAATCAAATTACCTAAAAATCGACAATTTTTAACTCGAGAAACAATTGATATCCGAGTCTTGGGGCAATGAGAACTTTTGATCAACATGATCAACGCTACCTCTCTGCAAATGGCAAAGTTTCAGCCAATTTTACGTAAGAAACGTGCATGGGTCCTTTACACCGTAGAAGAATACTAAAAACTTGATTATTATAATAATTTGGAAACCAATATTATTCTTGTTGTATAACTATCTTACCACATAAAACTTGTACATCCCCTCCAAATTAAAAAAAAAAAGAAGACCAGCATGTCATATGCCAATTATGATTCACTTTTATTTCTGTCGTCTGTCACTATCAGTTGATTAATTTGCGGCGAGGTTGCTATAAAACTTATGTTTTAAAAAATGTCGATTTTAGCAAGTCCACTGTCTGTAGCCGGCTCCAGAACAACGGGAGCTTCGGTTCGCACCCAAAATGGTAAGTAACAATATATTTCATTGATAATTTCTACCGCACCTAACCTAAACGCCGCTCACGAGGTAAGGATATAATGTACCCACATCAGTCTGAAGAACTCCTTAACTATATTAGATGTCTACATACAGTTCTTATACTGTTTATTTTTAGCGTTAAATACCCTTATTGAAGAATAGGTTTTGAGCGTTGTTGAGAACTACCAAAGTATTTTTTTATAAAAGAGAGAGAAATAATCTGTTTTTGAATTCTTCCAAATATATATTGTGGTATTAAATATTATAAGAAGGGAATTGAGGAGTTAATAATAATCTATTAATGTTTGTTTGTAAACAAATATTCTTTTTCTATGTAAGCCATAAGCTAGTTATCAAAATTTGTGTCACTGGCAGTTCTTAAACACCTCACTGTTTATTCGGTCAATGCACCTGATTGTAAGCCTACAATATTAAAAATCCTAATTTTTGCTCTGTTCGGTTTCTTCACCAATGATTCAAACTGGATTTTTCCCTTAAGCTATTATGCCTTAGGTTTCTACCATAGTGACTAGGTATCTACTGCTATTTGGAGCTGATAATATTGAATATGTGCTGGAGGGTTCTATGGTGGCACAGCATGTAACTGAGCAATGTGCTGCAAATAGGTTGGTTCTGAACAACAATAAAACTAACCAAGTGATTTTCACAATGAGAGGTGTGGGTGATATGAATGTTGGAGTTGGTGAGATTGGATTTTTAGGAGTTCTTTTGGGCCCAAAATTACAGTGGGGCCCACATATTAATAACTTATGCAAAAAACTAAATAAAAGTCTCTTTATTTTGAGAAGAGTCTTTATGTACTACATATCACTCCATATTCCACTCACATCTTTTATAATCTATCCTTGTTTGGGGTCATGCTGCAGACACAGAGTATTAGGTCTGCAGAGAAAAGTGGTGGGGGTCCTTGCTGGTTGCAGACTGTATTCTACTTCACAATTGTGCTTTGTATACTACACTTATCATTGTTTTTATTTGTGATCACTATATACTTCACTATCTATAATTTTCTGCATTTCTTTAATAATTATTTGTATAAGTTTCTTAAATTGTTTTTGAAATGCCTAGGAATTTTTCATGGGTCTTTCTAGAAGCTTCTTAAACCGTACTGGAAACATCATGTAATTTTTCTGGAAATATTTTCGAATTTTTCATAGTTCTTTCTAGAAATTTCTTTAATAATATCCATTGCTTTGTCTGCTAACTGAAATTCACTGACCTCTGCTATTCTACATGTTAAGAACCTCTGGTAGCTTCATTCTGCTTGTAAATAGACCAACAACTAAAGATGTTTCACAAATGTTTTATAGGGCCGAACAACACTACAAAAGTCCAATATCAAAAGTATCTGCCTTTAGTTATTTTTAGTTTATAGATTATTTAAATGAATTATCCCCCAGACTGATGCCAATGTAACTTTAAAATGAAACGCAGTTCATTTACATATATACATTTCTTTTACCATTTTTATTTATTTGCACAATTGTATTTAGATCTAAAATATAGATTTATCACTCAATAACTAAGCATATTTATCTAATAAGCCCATACAATATCCAACTTCTTGATAACTGCCAAAAAAAATAGGAGTTCTACTGCAGTTTGGAAAAATTTTTATTTTAAACACAAATACTAGAATTCACAATATCACAAAATAAACCAAACAACAGCTACATTTTTGACATCTGCATGTACAGTATACTCCCTCTATAACGAACACAGTTATTACAAGGTTTTGCTTATAACCATGTACATTAGATGTCCCGTGAAATTTCTATTGAACTATAATCCTTTATAGCGAGACAAATTTGCTTATAACGAGAGAAAATAAGATTGAAAAACTTGTTTTGTTAGGTTTTTGTCCCGGTCGTGGCTATAAATAAATACCCTTTTTAACTGCCACCCGCAATAAACTTCTTCGGAAATTTACAATTTATGATTCACAAGTGTCATTGTAGGCCGGTGAACATTCACACCTAAAAATAAGAACGTCCTAATAGACAAGATGTGGACAGTGCTTTAAATGTTGTAAGAAACTTTATCCAAAGACAAAATGCAAATGAAGAAGCATACAACTGTTTCACATCTTTAGGAAATATGATAGATAGAATACTGGACAATTTAAAGCAGTCAAAAATAACATGAGTTCTTCCAATTGCAGAAGCAATAGTTTATGTTATCCTTGAAAACACGCTTTATACAGATTTTTTGTTTTAACATATATGATTGACAATAAAAGTAAACAACTCTTTTCCAGACACGTCATGTAAACAATAGTTAGCATCTTATATTGCTCGAAATGGCTTCACCATAGTATTACTGTTGTTTGATATAAAGAGATTAGCTATAAAGAGGTAATTAGTCTGCCATTTCAGTTCTCGTTATAGAGGGAGCCTACTGTATTATGTCAATAAAACAATTAACATAAGTTGTTTGCAATATTTATGAATCTAATGATCCACTGTCACACAGGAACAATAATTTTAATAGTAGATAATACTTGTAAACTAAAATTGGTTAAAATTCCTAATTTAGTTGTAGATGATTTAGTTTAATACATATTAAATTTTTAGTAATGGCAGCCTCTACCATCGCTAATGTTGTAAAGAGTTCATTGGGACCAGTTGGTCTAGATAAAATGTTGGTTGATGACATTGGAGATGTGACAGTAACTAATGACGGAGCTACTATTTTACGTCTTTTGGAAGTTGAACATCCAGCCGCCAGAGTATTAGTAGAATTGGCACAGTTACAAGATGAAGAAGTAGGAGATGGTACAACTTCAGTTGTTATTATAGCTGCAGAATTACTAAAAGTAAGTATAAAGTTGTAATATAAATTTTAATGCCATAATAGGTAATTGGATAATTTTTACAAAATATCTAGTAAATTTACATTTCTGTTGGATATATTAATTATTTTTAACTACAGATAACAAGGGATAAGTGGACAAACCCCATAATCTGTTAATTTATTTTGTGATATTTATTTTATGGGCATTTTTCATATTTCCTAGCATTGGTTTCTTAGGAATCAGGATAAATATTGATAGCCGTCAGTCTGTTGGCAACTGTTCAGTTTCATATTTTACTAAATAGATTGGTAAGAGCTGTGATATAGTTGTCCTCTATTAGCTCGAAAATTTCTCCATGCATGTCATTAAGTTCTGGCCATTTCCTGTCTTTATCCATTTAATGGCCATTTTGACTTGTTCATTTCTTATTTCTGTTAATTAGCTTAGCTTAGTCTCAATCAAAATCTATTTATTTATTTATTAACGGATTGGAACAAAATGTTTGGAACATTTACATTGGAACAAAATATAATATATAAAATTTTTCATATAAAATTTTTCAGAGTAAGCATAACATTGAAAATAATTAGTAAAGTTTAACAAAAACTAATATATAACTTGAGTACAAACTAATAACACACAAATAGCAGTCTCTTTATCACATTTTTAAATTGTTCTAAGGACTGGAAAAATAAGTCCAGATCACTTTGGTACCTATTATATAGTCTCACTATACAGTGCGTTAAGTTTTTGATTAGGTATTGCACACTACACGGAGCGCTAAAATCGGCAACGTTGCAAATGTTCGTTCTCCGACCCGAAAATCTACACCGACAGAAAATCATTTATTTTAGTTTAGTAACTGATAACAACGTTAGGGATGTACTTCTCTGTCGTCCGATCTCATGTTTCATTACGTAAAGCCGATTTTAATAGTAGGAAATTCGATAAAAATGCACTGAACTAATCGGTGCATTGTTATCGATTTTTATTAATGTGAAAATTTTTTTGTGGTTGAATTAAAAATAAAAGCGTATTTCTTTAAAAAGATAAAATAAAAAATATACTCTTATTGAAAATTAAAATATTATTCCTAATAAAATAAAAACTAATTCTTTATGACCTACAGAAATGGTTCAAATAGTTGACCTTCTACGGCTGAACAGTACCCCAATCTGTCATAAAAACTTCTGCGAATAGATGAAAGATGCTGTAACAGAATTGGAAACTTCTCTTATTCGATTTTTTAATTCATCCAAATTTTGGGCTCTAGCCTCAGGATGAGTGTAGATAATGCTTTTCAAATGTCCCCAAAAAAAGAAGTCCATGGGTGTAAGATCTGGAGATCGCGCAGGCCACTTAACCCTTTCGCTCATGGTGTACAGTATATTGTACATCACTTTACCGATATCAAAATGACGTGACCAGATGCTTCTATCCGCTTTATTCACAATGTACATTATAATGTATACATATTAGTTTTAATTTCAAACAGTTGCTTCCATATAGCGTTGAGTAGTTTAAAGTGAAAAAAAATTAAATTCAAGGAAGTAGGTTGCTGTGACGGTTACTTCAGTGTCTGGATGTAAGGTGGCTTTTAATAATTTACAGATTGGTTGGAAATGTCCGATATAATTTTGTTGATGACTAGAAACACTTGTATTTGCTGCATTTACGGTCCACTTTCTGATAAGTTTGTTTGTTTTTTCTATATTTGAGTAAACATTAGTGTACAGTATACTGTACAGTGTGAACATACAGAGGTCGACAAAACCAGACATTATTTACAGTTGTTTATACTTCATTTATTTTGCAGTATTAAAATACATATAAAAATGAGTAAAAGAAAGCCGTTAAATGAAAAACAACTAATGGAGCTAATTGAGGCCGGCCTATTAGATATTGACGGGCTTAGTGATGATGACAATGACGATTATGGTTGGGGAGATAGGGAGCAAGAAGTTAGCAGTGATGATGATAATGAGTTGAATGAAAGCTAATTTAATTTTAAATCTAATTTTATGGGTATAGGAAAAGAAGATGAATGTAAAAGGTGGGACAAAAATAAGAAACAATATATTTATGTCAAACGACCTGAAGTAATTAGAAAATATAACCAACATATGGGCGGCGTTGATAAATGCAACTTTTTGATTACTTTATACAGAACCTTTATTCGTTCCAGTGGACACTTCGTATGTTTACACATAGTACGCTGAAGACATATGTCGCTGAAGTTTAGATAAAATCAGACAAAGTATCCTCCAGAAAACGGGGACGTCCTTTGGATACAAGAGAATCGACGTCATCTCCGTCACAAAAAAAAACAAAAAACAAACTAGACCAGCAGCAGAAGTAAGGCTGGATGGATTTGATCATTTGCCAATTATAGATGACAAATCCTTTTCTACTAGGTGCAAGTTCCCTAAATGTGGTTCTAGAACCAATTTCGTATGTAAAAAGTGCAATATACACTTATGTATTTCAAAAAAACAAAACTGTTTTATGTTATATCATACAAATAAATAATTAGTTGCAGATATATGATTTTTAATTGTATTTTGTTTTAGAAAGTCGCAAGAGCTACTAAAATTTACTCACAATGTGCAATATATTGTACAGGTCGTATACACCGTTTGTTCACAATGTACAATATAGTGTACAATTTACATCCCTTAAAAGGGGTAACAGGGAATTATTTTGGGTAGGCCAAAAATGTTATAAAAATTAAAAGAATATGCCTACCAAATTTCAAATTTTTATCTTAAAAAACAAAAATGTATGAGCGAAAGGGTTAATATCGCCTGTTCCACTGATAACTCGATTCGGGAAAGTATTGTTTAAATACTCCCTAATAATTCGAGCGTTGTGAACTGAACAGCCGTCTTGATGAAATAAAACATTCTCCAGATTTACATCAGGAAGATTGAGAATAGCGGGAAGAACATGATTCTGTAACAAATCGAGGTATACTCTCTATTCAAGTTGCCCTCAATAAAAAATGGACCTATTATGTGGTCTCCTAAAATGCCAGTCCAGACGTTAACTTTTTGAGGACGTTGAGTTCGGTAAACAACACTTCTGTGCTGGTTTTCCCGCGCCCAATACCTCGTAATGGAAGGATTGTGTCTCCCTACTAACGAAACAGAAGATTCATCAGTGAATAAAATGTTTTTAATAAAATTTGGTTCACTATTAGCCTTCGTTATTAGAGTTTCACAAAACTCCATTCTTCGAAAGTAATCGTCTGGATAAAGCTGCTGCGTTTTCGAATATTTAAAATTCTTGTAACCGTGCTTTTTCCATACTTTCGTTACAGTAACATTGCTAACATCTAACTCTCTAGCAACGCTTCTACTTGAACGTGTTGAATCTACCTCGATTGTTGCACAAATTTGTGTATCCCGGTATTCTCTTTCCTCAACTTTTTCTGGTAACACTTCTCGAGCGTGACATTTTCTGCAATTTTTGAGGCAGTAACAACTCTCAAAATTTTTAACAATATTATAAATTGACTGTACACAAGGCATTGGTCTTCCCTCAAAAAACACAGAAAATAAATCTACACACTGTTGCTCAGAATTGCCACTATAAAACCATTTTATTATTTGAGCTTTTTCCGCGGCCATATAAACAGACATGTTTACAAAAATAAATTAAAACTCTACGCTGTTATACCTTTAAACAACCACGGTATAATGACAATATGACAAATTTGCACCGGCGACGTGCAACGACGAGTCAACGAAGCAGATATGTAGTGCAAGTCGAAGACGCGCAGTGTTGCCATTTATAGAGTGTATACCTAATCCAAAACTTAACGCACTGTATGAGTAAGAGGCTTGAAATATTCATAATTAAATTGATGAAATGGTAGATGAAAAAACGAAGTATGCCTAGCTCCATGAAGAGTGTTAAGACCTAATTGATTTAAAAGTTCAGGGCGATTTATCAAATTATTAGCAATATTGTAAAGGAATATTAGCCAAAAATAATCTTTTCGCTGATTCATAGACATATGAGAGAGAAAACAAGATTTTGGAAATCCAAGATGGGTTTCTAGTTCACGCACAGTAAAACGACGGTATTCATCAATCAGAAATCTCATAGTTCTACATTTTCTGGTTTTATGTCAAAAAACACTGATTTAACATTTCTCTTTCAGTAAATTCGTACCTTAAAGAAGGCGCTGAAAAATTTTGACGCCAAGTTATAAATAAAAGTTGGAGACATTTTTTTTCAAGATTAAAATTTGCTTCAGTTAAACATAAATATGCATCAGACTAAACATACCTCTCGAGAATGACTACAGCGTCGCTATTTTGTTCTATTATTGAAAAAATATGTAGTTTTTGAACACAATAAATTTAAATCATTAATCTCTTTTTGCATTTTAAATAATTAATAGTACAAGATGTAATACTTTTTTGTTTTTTTTTTATAGAATGCTGATGAACTTGTGAAACAAAAGATCCATCCAACTTCAATTATAAGTGGATACAGATTAGCATGTAAAGAGGCCTGTAGGTATATTCAAGACCATTTGACTATTCCAGTCGAAGAGTTGGGAAAGGAGTGCATCATAAATGTTGCCAAAACCTCAATGAGCTCAAAAATTATTGGAGCGTATCCTTTTAAATATCATGTAACAATTTTCGGTATAACTGCACAAATAGGGTAGTATAAATTTTACTCTTGGGCCAATTTCTTTTTTTATTTTAGTACTGAAGACAATATATTGACATGTAGCGTGTGTGGCTCTTTTGGTTGAGAACCACATGTTGCTTCACCGGGCGCTTAACGTGTTAAAAGCATCCCCTAATTTATCAAATTTTAAAGTATATTTAGATATTCATTGTTCTATAATGTATTATTTTTCTTAACATGTAATAGTGATGCTGATCTGTTTTCTCAAATTGTTGTCGATGCCGCCAATGCTGTTAAAGTGACAGATTCAAAAGGAAACAGCATGTATCCCATTAAGGCCGTCAATGTCTTGAAAGCACACGGTAAAAGCGCCAGAGAGAGTTTCCTTGTACCAGGTTATGCATTGAACTGCACCGTCGCCAGCCAAGCTATGCCCAAAAAAATTGTTAACGCCAAAATCGCATGTTTAGATTTTTCATTGCAGAAGGCTAAAATGAAGATGGGTGTTCAGGTATGTAATTTTTTAAACATATTTTTTGGTTAGATCTTCCAGTTAAAATTCATTGTAATAATTTTGTCAGTATGTATATAATAAGTGACTGTTTAATGTTTATATTATTAGGTTTTAATTACTGATCCAAATCAACTGGAAGCAATCCGTACAAGAGAGCTTGACATCACCAAAGAACGCATCCAGAAAATCCTTTCTACTGGTGTTAATGTTATTCTTGTGAGTGGTGGTATCGATGATCTTTGCCTCAAATACTTCGTGGAAAATGGAGCGATGGGCGTAAGAAGAGTAAAGAAAGCAGACTTAAAACGGATTGCCAAAGCAACTGGTGCCACTTTCCTCACTTCTCTCAGTAACATGGAAGGAGATGAAAGTTTCGATTCTAGCATGGTAGGAGAGGCAGCGGAAGTTGTTCAAGAAAGAATTTCTGATGATGAATTGATAATCATTAAAGGGTAAGTTTAAACCATTGTATATACCTGACACGGCACTATATTATTGAAGCTTCCGTGATAGTTTAATGGCAAAAACACTCAGCTATAGTCTGTCCCACCTTGACTTTACATTACAGGTTCTCATGAACAACAGTGATGCCAAATTTTATCAGAAACATGTTAGAAGCAAATATACTTATTTCTATAGGATAACTATAAATACCTTAGGAAATAATATTATTCATATTTTGGGGCTGTCAGGGGTTCTAAAACATTTTTTATAAAATAAAAATAATTTTGTATAAAACATTTGTATAATAATGTATTTAAGCGCATAAATATATTAAACCTCAATAAATACGTACGTACCTACATAAATAATTAAAATGTATTTTAATATATACTCCCTAATATATACTATATATAATTATTATACTCCCGTCTTCCTCTACAGAGGAGGGGCAAAACAAACTTTTTATAAGCCCAGAATCTTTCACTGCCACTGTCGTCATTAAGGTATATTATAACTGGGTGATATTGTCCAGTCTCTTCTTTATGTGCCGTGCTCGATTATCCGAAGTGGAAATTGAAACGTTAATAAACGTATTTTTATCTTTAATTGTGGCTTATTCCCAGTTAAATAGTAATTAATTTAAAATCCCCGCGGGAAGAGAGCGGGATTCACTCCCCGCCTCTCGACGCGTTAGTGTTCTGAGCTGTTGGACGTGAATCCCTGTCCTGGCATTTGGTTTTCACCTCTGGCTGCGTTGAGTAGTTGAGTTACTGTGGCCCATCTTGGTAGTTAGTATTCGCCTCTGGTTGCGTTGAGTAACTGAGTTACCGTTGCTAACTACCCATCTTCCTGTCTTCTTTTTCTTTTTCTTTGTTCTCCTGAAGAAGCTACATACAATTGTAGCGAAACGTCGAGATGAACCCACTTTTGGGTCACTCACAAATGACACGGTCCAAACCCGGAAGACGAATAAACTATAATTCTGTCTCTGGCCGTGGAAGCCTACGATTTCATTTCTCTATAATTACCTTGATTTAACGAATGCTGCGATTCATCGTGTCCCCTAAAAGATAATTCCTGACAACTTAAAAAAATTACAATATCAATTAAACGACGTAAAACTGCGTGATTATTTTTTACAATTTCGTTATGTTTAATAGCATTTTCACGTTGGGCATTATCTAATGAAACATATATATTTTGTTTTCCAAATAAATCTAATTTAATCTGGCTGTAAGTATGATCTTTCGAAATATCATGTTTATGTAAAGCCCTTAATAATTCCTTTAAATTATCGTAACCAGATTCACACCACGGATTTTGATGTTTGCCCCTATTTGTCGAAAATAAAATGCAAGGCCAACAGAAAAGTTTGTTTTTTATTTCACTCCCGGTAAGCCATGAGTACTTACTGTACCAATTATCTGAAAATGATCTATTACTTCCCTTACCTGCACTAATATTTATAAGCCGGGACATTTTAGGCAAAGGACGCCCCTTATTTTTAATAACAATTTGTTCTTCGTATGGAATAGATGAAAACCTATTATGCAAAATATAATTTACAATATCAGACTCATCAATACTTACAGTTTCTCCCATGGCTTGCATTTTTTAGGTTAATTTACCTGAATTTGTTTACACTTTAATTAAAAAAAAACTTCTAATATGTCAAAAAGTCCTTTAACCTTTAACTATTTACGGCAGACGTAACGTATCACAGTAGTACTTTAGAAAATAAAAATAAATCACAAAAAGAAAGACTAGTTCGTGCACTGAATATCAATTCACAGGAACGTAGATTCCTTGTGGACTTCACTTTACTACATATATGAAATAACATTTCGTCCCACGCTCGCAATGTACAGTTCGCGACCAATCACCAATCCAAATGAAACATCGGCAAATTTAAATTCGCCGTACTTGGTAATTAAGTTCATATGGAAAGAAATGTATATTTGGTTGCTAATCAATCAATATTCCGTTGATTTTTACAAGTAAATTCAAGGTTGGGATCGGCTAGCCGAAAAAACAAAACGTGCCTTTTTAAGAATTCATAGGCGGATGAATGTCTCCGATATCGAATAATCTATTTGAAAAGTGTCTACGCAGGGATCACTTAACGCTCAGATTGGACGAATTCTTTTAAAAACCATGAATAAAATTTAGTCTGGTCGAATTCTTTTAAAAACCATGAATAAAATTTAGTCTTTATTATCTCACAGATATTTTTTAGTTCACAAAAACAAATGACATCAACTGATTACCTGCCACAATTCTTTATTGAAATACTGATTAAATTAAATATTAAAAAAGTCTATAATATCTATACAGATGTGGGTCGGCACTGCCGACCCTGACCGGCCGCCACTGGCATTGATACAGTTTTATCCGGAATATTTACTGTATGTTCCTATACTGTAAAGTCAAGGAGGGACAGACTATAGTTAATTATTATTGTACACACTTCAAAAGCAGTATTTATATTCTTATTTATTATTTTAGACCAAAAGCACGTACTGCAGCCTCAATAATCTTGCGAGGACCCAACGATTTCTATTGTGATGAAATGGAAAGATCTGTTCACGACGCCCTGTCCGTTGTAAAACGTGTACTCGAATCAAAAAGCGTCGTAGTGGGTGGAGGCAGTGTCGAAGCAGCACTTTCGATATATTTGGAAAACTTTGCCACTACGCTAAGCTCCAGGGAACAATTGGCTATCGCGGAATTCGCCAGGAGTTTACTGGTTATCCCTAAAACTTTGGCAGTTAATGCAGCGCAGGACGCTACCGATTTAGTAGCTAAGTTGAGAGCATACCAGAACTCCAGTCAAACGAAAAAGGATCATGCGCACTTGAAATATGTAGGATTAGATCTCATGGAAGGTAAATTTATGTTTATATTTATTTATTTTTAGTTTTAACCCATTAGTGCCCAGATTATTTTTTGGCAGTTTTTAATGTAATGCTATTATTTTTTGGGAGCAGTTTTATTAAAAAACATAAAAATTAATGAATTTAAGCATTTGGATTTATAAATCACTCAGTATATGATGTTACATATATGTAACGCTAGGAGCTAATCGGTGCAAAAAATACAATGTATATCTGTAAACAGTTCTATTTATTTAAAAACTGAAAATAATGAAAAATTAATTTAAACATTTTGGTTTGTGTGATAGGTAACGAAACAATCACTACAGAGACCTAAGTTACATTTTCTACACAATTTCGCAACAGACACGGTGTCATATGCTTTTGTTAAATCTACTAAAAGTAAATGCACTTTTCCAGATCTGTGTTCTTTTCTCGAGTATTTGGGATAAACAGAAAATACTATCTATTGTGAATCGTCCTGCTCTGAATCCGTTTTGTTCTTCTGATTCAAAAGAACGGTATTCTTCGCATATGCGTTCTTTTATAATTCTCCCATATAATCTACTAAGCGTGCTCGTAACAGTTATACCCCGATAGTTTTCTTCCTTAGGAATCTTCCTTATTTCCTCTTTTATGGATAAATGTAATCCATCCTTCTTTCCAACTTTGTGGCACTGGTTCTCCGTGCAAGTGTCGATTGAAAACTTCTGTTAGTATCTCGAATAGGTTGTTGGTTCCATTTTTTATTAACTCTGCATATATCCCTCTGGACCCGGAGCACGTCAATTTTTCAACAATGATACAGCTTTTTTAGTTTCTTCGATGTTAATTGTTGGTGGATCTCTTTGAATCAGGAGTTCATGTTGTTCTATGTTTTTGTATTCCGGTCTTTCTTTTGCTAACAGTGTTTTATAGTGTTTTTCCCATTTTTGGGGCTCTATGGAGTGTATGGCTATTTGTTCTGTTTTGTTGGATCTGATGTTTTTTTTATAAACCTCCAGGATTCTCTTGATTTGCGGCCGTCAATGTACTTACCTAATTCCTGACATTTTCTCTTCCAGCTTTGATTTTATGACTCTATTATCGTGGACTTAAATTTATTTACCATTTCTCTATATTCTCTTTTGTGTTCTTGATCCTTTGTTCCTAGCCATCGGTGATATAATTTTTTCTTTTGTTCTTTCATTTTCTATAGTTCATCATTCCACCAATTATTTGTTTATACCTAATGCCTCTTTGGCCGTTGTTGCTCCAATCTTTTTTTATACAATTCTCTAGTACTATCGTTGTCTAAACTTGTTAGATTGTACTGCAGTTGTTCAACTCCTGCTGAGTGATTTTCATTTACATTTTTATTTTGTTGGTGTTTACCATTTCCGCTTATAGGTAGTATCATTTTGGCTTTTACTAGATGGTGGTCACTTCCACATTCGGCTCCTCGAAACACTCTTACTTCATGCACTTTTATTTTAGATTTTTGTTTCATTATTAGATAATCATTTACTCATCTTAAGTTTCTTGTAGGCTGAGTCCATGTATATGTATGTATTTCCTTATGTTTGAAATACCCATTCATGATCCTTAGTGAGTACTGTCTACACATTTCTATTAAGTTATTGCCATTATCGTTTGTAGTGTTTTCTCCATATGGTCCTATTGTTTTATCGTTTATTCTTCTACCAGTTCTTGCATTGAGGTCACCTAGTATAACAGTTTCCCTTGTTTGACCTATTTGAGAAATAGTTTCATCTAGGACTTCACAGTATTTTATTTTTTCTTCTAGGCGTGCATCATCATTCGGACCGTATGTGCCTATTATTGTTATTTTTGATCCTTTCAGGTTGAGGTTGATCTTTATGATTCTTTCATTTATTGCTTGCCAGTTCGATATATTCTTTTTGTATTTCTTCAATATAAGTATTGATACTATTCTTTTGGCGTGTTCTTCCTTATTAATTCCCATGTGTATATGTATATATCTATCAAGATTTTGGGTTCCTTGTCCTTTTTTCTTTGTTTCTGAGAGTACAGCGAAGTCCATGTTGTGTTTTTTCATTTCTTCGATAACATCTTCGATTTCATTTCTAATTCCTTGTGTATTCCGTGTACCACAAATCAGTGTCCGTTTTCGTTGCCATTGTCGTCGTCCTTTAGTTCCATTCATATCACGAGGCTTGGTTTCGGTATTACCATAGCATTACCATTTTTTCCAAGAATGAGTGGCTGGCCCATTGCTAAACCCCCTTGCTAGGAGGACCAGAATTTTCTGTCGGGGTTTATTCCCTTAGCCGATAAATAACTCACCACGCTGGCAGACGGGTTGGTTTGGAGTTTAGGTAGGGTAATACTAGGGTGTGGGCCTGGTTTCTCCTAAGTAGGGAATGGGGGAAATACCAGGAGCTCGCGTGGGCAGGGACGCTACCTCTCTGAAGTAAGTCTACACTCTTTCGGACCATAAAGGGGTACCTACCAGCTACCCGTTTGTAATGTTTATAATTCAAGAAAATATCATTTAGTTGTATTTGTAAAGTTCTCAGGTAATCGTAACTTATATTTAATTGCAGGTACCGTTCGAGATAACCGAAAAGCAGGTGTTTTAGAACCAACTATGTCCAAAATAAAATCACTGAAGTTTGCAACAGAAGCTGCCATTACCATCTTGAGAATAGACGATATGATTAAATTGGATTCCGAACAAAGAGGTGGAAAGAACTACCAGCAAGCGATGGAGAGTGGAGAATTATATGATTAATTTGATTTATACTCTGTATTACTAATTTATACGTATCTTCATATAATTGTCACTCATTTTCAGCTAATCTCCTTTAAAATAAACTTAATTCGAAGTATTTTTAAGTACTTCACCATTTGCAAAGATTTTTAATAATTACAAGACGTTTTTGAAAGCTTTTTCACAGTATTTATTGTTAATGATTTTTTAATAAACCATTAAAACAACATTTATTATGTAATAACATTTTCTATTTGAATTATTTAATTGTTGGAAATTTACCATTGTTTTTCGATATCATATCTATATTGATATACTAAAGATGATGTCCGATAGTCAAGTCGCAGTTTTAACATCGGAACTAAATAACCTAAAAAAGCAGGAATTAATTGACATATTAGTGAATTTAAAGTTACCACTGTCCGGTTCTGATCCTCAGTTATCAAATTACATTAATTAACTAAACTAAATTAACACACAGTGCAAAAAGGTATTAAAGCATTCAATGTCGAACATAAACTAGACGTTATTGTGTGTGTACAGTGTATAAAAGGATTCCCCACACCGACGCGAAACTTTTGAGACGCGAATTTTCCGTTATGGAACATTCTCAGGCGGAGCGGTAGCTCAATCCCACATTGGCGCGAAACCCGACGCGACTGTTCGCCATATAAATGTGAACAAATTATATTTTTAGTCATTGATTCGTAGCTTACAAATACGTAATGACTTCGTTTGATGAAGAAGCTCTTCTAGCTCTAAGAAGCTAAGAAAATTTCGGTTTATTGCCGGAACTAAAAAAAAAAACAGGTAGCTTCAGAAGCAATAACTTGGTGACACATTCAGTATTATTAGTATCGACATATATAGGGGAAAGTATTGGTGTTAACTGTGTATTGCTCCGAGAAGAACATCTAGTATTTGAATTGGAAGTGCAAAAGCCAGCTGCTTTTTGTTCTTGTTGAAATTTCAATTTTTTTGAAACTAAAATGAAACTTTTCTTATATTTTTATAATCTTCGTCCCTTAAATCATAAAGTATAGGATATTGTTTCATAATTTCAATTAGTTTTTCTGTAACAGCCATTTTAATTCACGCGAAACTATAAAACTGCAGCGAAAAAAACCGTGCATGCAGCGTTACATGAAAACAACGCTGATCTGCCGCGACCGTTGCGGATTCCGCCCCAACTTGTCTGAACACCTGCATATGCCGTCGTGCCTTACGATTCGCCGCGATTCCGCGTAGGTTGCGGCTGCGAAAGTTTCGCGTCGGTTTGGGGAATCCTTAAGACTAACAAGGAACTTACTAAAATAAAAACTCAACTTGCAGCAGTAAGTAAACTATCATTCCATCTAGAAAAACGTACAGACGAGCAACAAGATTTAATTTCTTTATTAAAAGATAAATATAATAAAAATTCAGCCATGTCCAATTTAAACGTCATCTAGTAAAAAAAACAGTAAATAAAACAGGCCCAACCAACTCAGGTTCTACCGGTCAAGAACCCATTAAAATGTCATTAAACAATCTAAAAACAAGACACTCATCATAGAATACTCAATCGAAAAAAGAAAACAAATACAAACCATTTATTGGAAGCAACAAATCGTCTACTGAAAACACCATTCCTAGACAAGATCATGTACATGTGTCCCGCATTGGTGTTGATAAGATAGCCGATGATCTTCTAAAATTTTTGGGTGAGACGGTACCCGATATGACTTTTAACTGCGTTGAATGGCATAGAACTGACAAATACTACACATATAAGTTATCTTTCCCTTTCGATAAAATTGACGAAGTTTACAGTCCTAATATTTGGCCCAAAGGAGCTGCCGTTAGGTGATTTAACTTCAACAGAAATTTTCAGCACAAAAAGAAGTCTGAGGAGGAAACCTAGAAGCAAACTTTTATCAAAATACACTAATTCGAAAAGGTACGGTAAGCATGTTTCATGTTAATTTGCAGTAAATAAAGTCGATATGATCAATGCTTTTATTGTGGATCAAAAATTATAAGACTTCATATGATTTTCGGAGCACTGGCAAAGTGAAGAAAATTTAAAATTAATTAGCATCTCCGGCTTTTTATTAGCTAATTTCTTTTGTAGGGTAAAAAAAACAAGGCGGAGTTGCAATTTATGTAAACGAAAATCTTATGTATTCCTCTCTTAATCTAAATGAATATAATGTAGAGCAAAGTTCAGAATTTTGAGCAATTTATGTACTTTCAATAAAAACCAATATTTTAACTGTATACAGATCGGGTAAGGGTGACTTTGACTTGTTTTTGGTGAATTTTGAAAATGTCATAATATCTGCTTAGTAAAGCAGACAAACTTATCATATTTGGCGATTTTAATATAAATTTTAAAATTAAATCTGACCCTTTATTTGATATTCAAAATCTATTAACATTTTGGTCTAAAAGTAACTAAACGATTATACTAGAATCACATCCTAGTCCAGTAGTTGCATTTACAGAATTATGACAAATTTTCTTTGAACCTTCTTTTTCTGGCAATCGAGCTCATTTTTTTTATGGACTCTGAGCATAGAGCTGTTGACACTAAACAAACATTTCAACGGTATATTACTTCTTCTCGTTTACAGAAGCTTATACGTGTGCTAGCTTTTACAAATATGGACTTTTTCTACGATATTAATAATGGTCCTCATTTTTTATCGGTCTTTCTTACCGAAACTTAACAATTTAATATTAAAGCATTTTCCACTAAAAAAAAGTACAACTGGCTGAAAAAACACCTGTGCAATGGTTTAATGATGCATTAAGGTGTTACAGATCTAATCTTTCTCTCATTAAACACATTGCAGATGCCACTGAGGATCCCGATTTATTCAAAGTATATAAACAACAAAAAGTTGAATATAATCAGCAATTAAAATCGCTAAAATCAGTTTACTGTAATTTTATTACTAATTCCAATAATAAATCTAGGGACTGCTGGAATATAGTAAATTTTGAAAGAAACTACACAAGATCCTGTTCGGTACAACCTGATCTACCTCCAGATGAAATCAACACATTTTTTACTACAATTGCAGAGAATATAATTACATTTCTTCCCACTATTAACGTCGATGTCTATTTCAATTATAGAAATTATCCTTCTCCGAGGAAGTCCTTTTTTCGTCCCGTTCTGGAAGAAGAGGTCTCAAATAATAAAGTCTCTTAGTAATTCTAATTGTAGGGATGTTCACGAAATTAATAGCAAAATTTTAAAAGAAATTTACCAAATAGTTTTAAGTAACAATAAAACACTGAAAACTTTGTTTTCAAACAAAATTTATTTGAACCTCTTATCACTACAGCTGTTTCGGCTGATTGCCTTTCTCAAGTGATCTATTTTTGACATGCGTTTACACTTATAGTTTGTAATGAAATAGGTTGAGGAGAGGAGAACTGTTTGTCTGAAGTTGATCATTCAGAATTATATCTGTGCTTTTTAATTTGTTGATTTCCATAGATTCTAACAATCATAGCTTAAGGCCTTTATTTTGAATGTGAAGGATTTTTAATTCGTCATTAAAAGAATGATTGTGATCTAGAAGGTGAAGTGCATGTTTTTCTATTATTGAAAGCCCTTTTATGTTCTGCTATTCGTTTATTAACGTTTCTACTGGTTTGACCTATGTAAGTTTTTGGGCAGTCGCTTAGAAGTGCTCGTTCTACTACGAACGCGGTAATTAATGTTGTGAGCGAGGTGTATGAGGGGCTTGATCGCGGCAATCGGATAGCAATTTCTTTTTGCGACTTGTCGAAGGCTTTTGTGTGCGTTTCACACGACATTTTGCTCCACAAATTAAATTACTATAATATTAGAAGTATCCCTCTAGAGGTAAATATTCCGTACTCGTACTATGGCAATAAAATATTAAAACCAATAAACGATAATTTGTTCAACAGTGCTGATTGAAACAACAGAGCAGTAAAATGTTGTTCATAAAGGTAGTGTAAGATATATCGCCGCTTATCTGGTTCGCTAGTAATAAATTTACCAGCATTTAATTGCAAAGCGGTTTTCTTATGTGAAAAATATATATTTATATGTGCCGTCAGTTCCGTCGGTCGTTAATAAACTTCATGTAAAAATATCAAAATGTTCTATCCGTAGTATATTACATTGTTGATCCCATCAGTACAGGTAGCATCTAAACATTCCGTATATGTATTCGCCACCTAGGACTTTTCTATTGGTTCTTTGCGGCACGCGGCAATGTTTCAACCAATAGGCGGCGAGGTACCACGGTGCCAGACAGGTATACGGAATGTTACTCTGGTGCCAAATTCATATATGGAATGTTAAAAATATTCATAAACCAAAATAGACAACTTTTTATTAAAATGAGACTGATTCTAAAATATTTGTTAATGTGTGATTAAGGAAAATTAAAAGAATGCAATAAGAAATAAAACAAAATATAATTAAATAAATAAAAAAAATTTCAAATATTTAAAATGTAATATTTATGCGTAATTCAACGCCCTTCGCCATGTTTAGTTGCATTTGTTTGATTTGCTGTGATATTGGACGAAAGATTGTGACTCCTTTTTAATCTTTTTTTATGAGGTTTATCTTTAGGTGGTCTTCCAAATGGTAATCTTTTTAACCATCTAGTAACTCCCAACTTTCTTCGACTGATTGAAGTAGGTTGCACTCTTATATTGGCCTTGTGTCCAAATCGCCTTGGCGAGGAACTTCCTGCCGTGTTTAAAAATCTTTCCCAAGCCGTTTTTGTTTGAATATGGGATAATCTTTCGTGCAGTAATTTTAAAGTTGATGAATCAGTTCCAAATGTAACATTTTTATATTACAAGAGTTATATACATTATTTTTATGTAAAATTGTATATATACTATACTTCATACATAATGCGAACTCTGTATTAATATACTTAAGTACGAAATTAATACTTAATCATTTTGAAGCCTTACCTTAATAAATTTGTCTTTTTTAATAGTATCCTTTGTTGTATGTTTGATGGATATTATTATTTTGGCCATGCAATTTGAATTTTTCGACTTCCCTTTTTTATTAGTGTTTAAAGGGACTCTTTGATAGCCTGAGTGATGGCAAACAAAAATTTTACTTAAAAAATATAATTTATTAAAGCATGCAGTTAAATAAGAGAATATATTTATATTTCATTAAAAAATATTTTATAAGAGCTTACCTTCATAAATAGTTATGAGTATTTTTTTTCGATTTTGTAGCTCTCCAGCGTGAAAAATAAATACTTTTATAATCATTTATTTTCATTAATAAGGCTGTATGTAAGACTTTTTGGCAAATCCATTATGGAAATAAACAAAGATCTAAACACGTGCAGGTCTTAAAAAATGCCGCGAAGGCGAAACATTCATACAAATGTATAAAATGTACTAAAAGAAAGAAAATATTGTCTCCCTGATGTATACCATTCCGTACATAAATTTCGCACCAGAGTAACATTCCGTATACGTGTCGTATATTGGTTGAAACATTGCCGCGTGCGGCAAAGAACCAATAGAAAAGTCCTAGGTGCCGAATACATATACGGAATGTTTAGATGCGTACAGGTACTGTCTATATAACTGATAGTCTGAGGATACCTTTACGAACGTCTCGTAAAAATCGAAAGAAGAAAATATAATTTATGTCAAAGGGTGACATTCCAAATTTTGACAGTGTTGTTTACAGCTTTATATGAGACAAGTTATACAACTTTTTATATTTATACTATGTTCATCCTCCATAAATGCCTTCACGCGTGATACAAATCTACAAAATGTATTTGAAGATAATTTATATGCAGATCTTACAGACTGCAACTTTACGATGAAAACTCCAAAAATTGTAATTAATCCCTATAAAGAAAAAATGAAAAATTTTGTCCCGTCAAAACCATTTTCATCAGTATATTTAAAGTGTGCAACTTGTTTGTCAATCGCAAGTGAGGTGGGTATTATTTAAATATATAAAGTCATCAACATTGTCCCTAGTTTTTTTCCTACCTACTACTTTCATCAATTTCATGAATTAATTCGTGAACTTAGGGATGGTCAATAGTAATGTAAATTTAAAATCGCGACTGAATTCACCACCTTGTGGACACTAACTCATGCATCGGGTGGTAATAACATCATCCTGAGGTGGATTATAGGAATAGGACACCCGTGAAAAGATGGGAAGAAGGGTAAGGATGTAGACTTGCCAGAGTAACATTAAGTAACCTTGAAAATCAGCATCAAAGAAGTACTTGGGAATGACCAGGAAAACCTACGCGTGGCAGTTGGTTTTTAACTGGTCATTGTCAACTAAACACACCTCCACATACTGGGGCTAGTAAACACACCTCTATGCAGGAAGTGTGAATTAGAAGACAAAACTGTAGAGTATGTCTGAGACTCATCCACCTTCCTAGAAATGGCAGAATCGACAATGAGCTAAGGACGATAGCTCCCTAGGGGGATGCACAATGGGTTAACTGTAGCCTAAGTGTTGTGGAACTCGCCCTTCCTACTCTACAGATACAGATGTATGGAGAGACATAAGAAGAAAAGGTTGAGTGTACCGAAAGTACAAGCTGAATATAGCCGCAAATGTGAACCATGAAATAAATATTTCAGTTTGGTATTAAGATATTACTTTTATGTGATAATATGATTTATGACCATTTTTGGCTTAAAATATTCAGTTTATATTCAATTTATACCTATTAATAATATATTTTAGATAGACAAAACTTTACGAAACGTTAGACCAATGTCTTCATTTGATAAAAGACCTCCAGATATTGTACATTCAGAAATAGTTACTAAATTGAGTTCATTATGTACAGAAGGATTTAACAGGTAATAATTATTAAGGTTGTAAGAACAAATCATTAAATCAAACTTAACAATCAAGCTACGAACACACACATTTTTTACATACCTTTGCATTTCTGCATCAAGGACTTCGTCTATATCAAAGAGTCTAGATTTTCGCGGTCAATATTTTGTAATTGTACATTGTTATCAGACCTCATCTATAATTTTTTGTTTATAAAGTTTCGTCTTTAACTGCGGCAGTCATTATCAAAATAGGTACAGCGTTGTGATCTGGTTCGCCTCAACCATCATGATCTTCACGAACAGACACACACACTTGAAAACGACCTTTTCAGGTATTCCTCCACCTCTTTATGGTCTGCTTAAATACTCTCTGGAATCTCTGTCGAATTATGGAAGTTGCACCGAGATACCAGTTTTTTTACGAGGTGACCCATGAGGTTTTTCCCTCGCTGTCTTCTTCTTCTTTTTGTTTGTTGATTTTGTTAGATAGGTTGTACCTCCCCGCTCTAACGGGTTGATGTGTGTGATTTTGTGTAGGAATTGTGTGTGGGTTTTCTGCTTCTGGTTGAAGCCACAGGGCTGAATTTCTCAGAAGTTTGAGGAAAATTTAGATTTGGTCTGAGTTTGGTGAATTTAGATTCTGTCGTCTGCAGGTATATAGTGCTGACAGTTATTGGTCTCTCTTGTCTTGGTTGGCCTTTAGTTTTATTTATGTTACCTTATTTTTGTTTCCTTTTTTTAGTTAAGTTCTGCAACCTCCTTCAAATTAATTGCGTGTATTTTCCTTTAATTACAATTAAGTCAAAATACGACAAACACTGGACTTCCAAAAGTATCCGCATATCAGCCAAGAATATGTGTTCACTACTGTACATCAAGAAATTTGAAAAACCTATCAAAACATCTAAAAAAATGTAATATCAAAATCGTCTGGGAAGCTCTAAAAATGTTGCAAAAGAAACTTGGTCCATATTAAACAATATTCGAAATAAAACTAACACAGCTCAAATATTTTCCCTTCCAAACCCTGAAAATCTAAATGAATACTTCGTTAATGTGAATAAAAATATAACATAAACCATTTTGCCACAACAAGATCATATTTCCTATCTTCCCAATTCAAAAAAGGTCTCGAATTCATTCTTTATAAGACCAGTTAATAAATCTAAACTAAGAACCAAACAATCAGTAGTATCAAAAGCAAATTTTCCTGTAGTACTGATAGACTATCCATAAAAATTTTCTTAAATCTCTCAAAAAATGTGTTGGAAGTCCTGGTTCCAATTGTAATGTAAATATAGCAAGAAAGTAAAGAATTAAAATAAAGGTTAGTAGCATAGGGGAGAATAATAATCATTTTAATGATTATTATATATTCCAAACCAAATAAGGGATAATTAATACAGTAAAGTATACATTTTAAATTACACAAAGAAATTTACCTAGTTAGTGCATTGTTTGATAATTGTTTAAACGTAGAAAAAGCACGTCAAACAGAAACTATTGTTGTAAAAATAACACCGCTCGTGACCCAAATGAAGCATAGGACTTACAACTCAGCGAAAACACGACCTTGGCACTATAACCGGCATTGAAAATACGAGCTCAATAAAAACAAGAAGAACAGAGGAGTCGGGGCAATCGGTGTCTTCGGGCAGGGTTGTTAATACGAGGGACAGCACCGCTTTTTCGGATTACGCGCGAATGTTATATTTCGACGGGTATAGTACCGCGTAAGTGTCGAGTACCGGAGTTCGAAGTTCGTGACAAAACGAAATATTCTCCTCAACTGAATCCGAATTTCCAGAGGAACTAAATGGCGTGTCACTAGCTAGAGCCTAACTACACGAAAGGTAACAAATTTCTATATACTAATCTGAGTAATTATATAGTACAGATTGTCACCCCTTTACTTTCTTGCTAAGCTCTCTTCTCGTCTCCCTTCGCGTCGAACGACTTATTATTGATTATATTTGAGAGCTTGTTAACTTAATTGTAATCCACTTAGTATATTCAATACATTGTAGACTCTAAGGTTGGTTTTAATGTTCCTTCCGGCCGATTCAGACAGAGACCAGGAGAGTACAAGATTTCTGCTTATGCATATCTCCGGCTTCTAAAGTAAGCCCATAAACTCGACTCCTTTACAGGACCTGAGACCTAGAAGTCCTTAACCCTTATTCCAAACCCTCCCTACCTTCTCGTAAATCCACGAAGGAGAACCAGTCAGTTCGGACCAGTGGACCAGTAAGACTTGCAGCCGCTCGCAGGGATAACATCCTTTAAGGTTCATATCGAGTACATCACACAATAATTACTGACTCCTACTATACTTTGAATCGGCTTTTTTATTGTCCAAGGTTCTGAAGCATAGGTGGCGATAAGAAATATCAATGCTCCAACAAGGCGTAATTTTGTGATGTCAGTGTTCTTTCAAATTTGTGCGAGTTTTGCTATTCTCGATCTCTTCATTGTGATGCGTCGACGGATTTCGTCTTCGCATCCTCCACTGTTAGTAATAACTGAGCCTAAGTAATTTAATTGCCTGATCACTTCGTAAACTGCCATAATTCGTATCTCTGCCTGGTTGTTTCTGATTCTATTGATGATCATCACTTTGGTTTTCTGCATACTTTTTTTCAAACCATATTCCGTACTCACCATACTTAGCCTATTCATAATTTGTTCCAGTTCTTCTATTGATGACGCCAATATAACAGTGTCATCAGCATAACGTAGGTTTTTGATTTTTCTTCCTCCTATCGTTGCTCCACCTTGCCATTCCTCAAAAACTTGACGCATAGTATGTTCATAATATATATTTTGAATAGAATAGGGATATTATGAATCCCTGTCGAACTCCAGATTTTAATTTGAAGTTTTTCGAATTAAAATCTGGTGTTCAACACTTCAAAAGTATTGACTTTTAAAAATTTGTAGATTTGATTTAAGAAGGTATAACGATTATATTGTAATATCAAATAAATTAGCTTGTAGTGATCATGTTCGAACTGAGATGGATAAAACTTGGACAAATAAGTAAGTTTTTGAATAGGTCTAATTAATATTATGTTCCATATCATTGTTGTATTTTAGATTACGTGAAGTATGTAACTTATATATATCCTACATGAATGTCGAAAATATTAGTGCTAATTTACCTACTAGTTTTAAGGACATTTCGACAAGCCTGTGCAGGTAATGACCATTCCCAAATTATTTATAAACGAGAATATTTAAAAATATCCTTTTAAGCTTCAATACAATTGTTTTATTGGTGATTATCAATATTATTTGTACTTTTCCCATTGTTTATTTAAAAGCGTTTTGGACGATGTAGTTCCCTATCTTCCACTAGCTTACGATTCATGAGATGCAAACCCCTTTCCCTATATTATGATGTAACGAAAATTTTACTTCTCTGGACGTCTCATCACATGAATGAAATATCATGTCTTTTGAATCTGTATTACTTAGTTATTTTTCATTGGTATAAAACTATTTCATTTATTATTCGGCCCACTCAGCTTCTTATTATTCCGTCCACGGAAAATTGGATACCTCGGCCATATTCTGAGAGGAAAAAATACTCAATCCCTCAACTAATCATCCAGGGAAAGATTGAAGGCAAGAGAGGAGTAGGTCGCAAACAAATGTCGTGGCTACGGAACATAAAGAACTGGACAGGCATAAATAACACTGGCGATCTTTTACATGCCGCAAAAGACCTGGCCTTACGATAACTCGCCAATGCACTATAGGTGCACGGCACCATAAGAAGAAGAAGAAAGAGTCCAGCAGAAATTTTTAAGATATTGTGCTTACCAATCCACACTACCATTGAAAATCATGATTATTCCTGTATCGAACAACTTAACCTTACTCAAGAACCGTCGTGATATGTCAGGAGCTATATTTATATATAAGATCAGACATGGATTTATTGATAGTCCAAACCTGTTAAGCCAGATTAATTTTAATGTTCCCCATCAAGTTCTACGTTACCACAATGTTTTCAATATTCCTTTCCACAGAACAACCTATGGTATTCACAACCCGTTGGATAGATACATGGGGCTATTAAATGTTCTCCATTTTGATATTTTCAATATAACTTTAACTCAGTTAAAAAGATCTCTTGCCTTGTGATATGTATATTGATATTGTTAATTTTTTTTTCTGTTATATTTTTAGTCTCATTTATTAAACTTTTTGATTTTACATTATAAGTAATTTCAAGTTTTGAATTCTAAGTGTTATATTATGTATTGTTATTTAAACTGTTAATGGGGTTATCCCCTATATTAAATAAATAAATAAATATTTCCCCTTTTAGTACTGGCGGTGTATTTCGAGATTGCATAAATATTGATGACGATACCTACAAAAAAGTATTAATCGAGCTTAATAATTGTGAAAACTGCAATTGTAGAGGAAATCTTATACGTTGGTAATTTAAGTCAATAAAAAGATATTTTTTTTATACATTTTTACTGTTTTTCCCATGTAGATAGTAAGTTTTGAAACTAATAGAGGAAGGGTCCTCTGCGAATCATGTAGTTTGGCGAGGCGAATCACGTCTTTCAATTCGTCCACAACTTTTCTTTGGAGTACCAAGATATTTTGTTGGAGGCAAAATAGAAAGATTGGCAGAAAGATAATTACCAAAGATAAAATGGTAGACATGGTAATGGATATCTTACAAAAAAAAATTCTGAACGTTTGTAAGTGGAGAGAGGAAACGACAATCTAAATCTAAATTAAAAAAATAAAGATATTTGAAAAGCCAATATTTATAGAAGAAGCAGATGGACTTAAAAGGAGATATTGAGCGAATATATTTTCACGAATTGCATGGGACAGACCAAATAGAAATACATCACAGAAAGTATTATATTATCAAAAAACATCTACCAAAACAACAAAATGAAAGTCAGAATAGATGGAAAACTTACAGAACCTATTGGCGATGTCAACAAACTACAGGGGGCGCTTTGACACATGATCCTGCACGTAGGAAAACACATGGTACAACGAAACGACATGTTTCTTTTCTTTGTATCATGGGAAAACAAAACAGAGGTACCATAATCTTTGTAGGTGAATGATTGTTGTGTCTAAAAATTATCCGTATTTATTATCTTCCATTTATTTTTTTGTTAACGCAATGGCAAATAAAGAAATTGAAGTTAGTCTGCTCCATATTTTGAAATATATAGGAGACACAAAAAGACCTTTAAAAGAAAGTGAGGCCTTGTTAAAGACTGGCCACGTTGTGTTGTGTGGCAAATATAATAACAAATTAGTAGGTTTGTGTCTGCAAACGACATTTAAATGGTGTCCCATATGAAATCACTGTGGATGGGTTAAGAGATGAGGGGATGCTACAATGCACTTGTAAAGCCCGCCAGGGAGGAATGTGCGTGTGTTTTATTACGCATTAGTCTAGCATTCACCAGTTCCTCATTGTTTTTTCTTTTGTGTTTTCCTTAAGAAGGCATTGAAAGGGAATAACACCTTTCTTTGAAAGTTTCTTTTGCTCTGATGCAGTTGTAATAGAAATTTTAATTAGGATCTATGTTAGTGTATAGATATATTTGATTATGTTAGGTAGGCACATTATATATAATAAATGTTGCAATTCTGTTCAGCAAATTTACTTGAAAAAAAATCTGTCGATAAAAAATGTTGTGAAAACACCATCATATCACTTGATATCGATTTCCCAATTTTTAATTCCTGTGCCCAACGATCTTGTTGATTTTTGTCACGAGGAAAAAAGTACATACTTATTCCTTCCGATCGATAATTACTGCATTGCCGTGCAGAACAATACTGTTTACATTTACTTTTTAACATTTTGTTACCTTATAGTGCTTTATTTAATAATATTTAAAATGTTTATAAACTATGTTATGTGTGTATAACTAAATACAAAATGTTTTGTTATCCTACGTGCACTAGTTCAAATTTTTACCGCACCGTGCCGCCTCTTTCGTTTGACATCGCCAATAAAAATAGGCAGCGGAATAAAACAGGGGGACTCATTGAGTCCTATGCTCTTTAATTAAATCATGGATGAAATCATCAAAAGCGTTAACAAAGGAAGAGGGTACAGAATGGGGAACAAAGAAGTAAAAATACTCTGTTATGCATTCGACGCACTATTAAAAGCCCAAGATGAAGATGTCTGCAAAGACTGCTCCACAGATTTAACATAAGAGCAAAAGAATTTAATATTACAATATCATCTCAGAAAACTAAAACAAGAGTTATCAGCAAAGAACCAACCAGATGTAAAGTAGAAATTGATGGCATCAGTATTGAACAAGTAATGAAAATAATATACCAGCTATGGAGACCTGGAAAAAGAAGTGAGAGATCCAGTACAAAAAGAAAATAGACTGACAAGATGCCTTAATAACACTATATGGCAAAAGAGACACATTAACGCTTAGATGAAGTCAAGAATTTATAGAATTTAAAGCCAGTGTAAGACCAATAATGACATATGTTTCAGAAACAAGACCTGACACAGCCACAACACAAAGGCTACTGGAAACAGCAGAGATGAGAAGAATTATAGGAAATACGCTATGATATCGAAAGAGAAGTGAAGAAAATTATTGGACAGTATATAGAAAAAAGAATGGAATAACCTCATAAGCAGAATGGGTGAGACCCGTGTCGTCAAAATAGCAAGAGATAAGTCACCAGTCGACAGAAAAAGTATCTGACGACTGCGCAAAAGGTGGAGTGACAACCTTCCATAGAGGTATTAACGCGCCGCTTGTTATTTCTTATAAAGAGGAAGAAGACTTATCTTATTGTGTTTTAGAGTTTTTGAGGAACGATGGCATATCTCAAAATATGATAATATATATTTTTTTATTATTAATCCATTCAGCCACGATATTATAATAAATACTATTTGCTACAATATTAAATACTATATACACATGCGCACATATATACACTTATGCACGCACATACATATATAGGTATTGTTAAATAAAATTAAAAAAAAAATACAAAAAGGAAGTGAAAACATTAAAATGACCTCTATTTAAACTCTTCATTCAGGGCCCTAACTAACTTAAATTAATTTACAAATAAGAAATATACAAATAATACTAAATGCTAATAAACAATATCGTGGAATCAAGTTTTCGATAAAAGACAACGACACTTTTGTCATCTGACGGCCATAGGTATAAACTAACTTTATGACATTATCACACAAAAATTCAAATCTGTTCACTTACATCGTCCGTTTCTCACTTTTTTTGAGATATGATGGTCTTCTTCCAGGGCAGCGATATAGAAATCACCAATACGGTTAAAAAGATATATTGCCTGAGGACAAGAATATATGTTACTCAGAAAAAGTATTCTCTACAGAAGACTACCGAAAACCCAACATTACAATTTGTATTTGTGCGAAAATAATAAGTAGGATTAGTTATATTTAGAGATGTACAAACAAGAACATACTGAAAACAGTTTTAGACAAGATTTCAGTAAGTAATGAAGAAAAGTCAAAACTAAGATTTATTTGGTAAGATCAAGCAGAACATAATCAAAACCTTAACAAAGTAAAAAAGCTGGATAAACAATGGTAGAGGTAGAAACATGCGACAAGAAATTGTAAAATAAGCCTAGGTCCAAGCAGTGTTTGTGGTATTATTTATTTTGTTTGTTCAGAGTATTCTGCTTGAGTTATATGAATCCCAATGTATGTTAATCTTTAAAGCTGTAACATTTTCTAATGGTGTATAGATCTATACCAAGAAGATTTAAAAACAAAAACAGTTACTGTAAGTATAAAATCTATATTGTAATTATCAAATATACAATATTCTCCTAAGTCTTCAACAACTTCATAATACATTTAATATCTACAAACTACTAGAATTACATTTAACCTAGATCAGACGGCTTCACTTCTTTAGTTGTAGCATTCTTTTGTGTTGTTTCTTGTAGCAAGTTTTTGCTAAACCATTGCGGCCTTGGTTTATTCATTTCTACAATCCTTTTTCCCTCAAAGAATTCTTCTGGTTTTTCATTTTTCTCGCCTTCATACAAAACAACAATCTCTTTTTCCACAGGTTCCAGTTTTAATTCGTTTTGAATTTGTTCTTGCATTGCCGTTGTTTCATCAATAACTTTCTTGTAGCATGTTGCTGAAATAAACAATATTTTATTACTGGGAAAACTGTATACTGGGCATTATAAATTTTTTGCAATTGAGCGTTTGTGGGACACTTTAGAAAGTCATTATTATAGAAAAGACTCAAAGAAGCTTAACTTATAGTGTGATTTAAATGTCTCCACCTACAGACTCTATCAACAATTTTGCCTGGAGAATAATATACCCAAGGGTACTATAAAGATATACAGATCTCTTTTCAATAACTACGAACCTCCATTTAAGTTTTTATAAACTGAAAAAGATCAGTTTTCTCTCTCCAATAGTTATAAAAATGCATTAGACAAGTCCGCCTTAGAAAATGACTATCAAACTCATAAAAAGAAACTGACTTTCTTAAGCTGAAGGGTGAAGATACAATAGATGACAAAAGTGTAAAATTCCAATCTGTTTTATTTGACTTGCAGGCAGTTTTATCTGTGTCTTATGCTGGTGATGCTCAAATCCACCACAGACCCAAACTTTCTGTATACAACTTTACAATATTTGATTACTGTAATAGTGACAGAAATTGTTACACCTGGGACGAAACAAATGAAGGAAAATAATCATCTGCATTTGCATCCTGTTTGTTGAAGTATATTTTTCTAAACTTCCTAGTAGTGTCAAATATGTAAGAACATTTTCCAATACTTGCGAGGGTCAGAACTGCAACAAAAATATGGCAACAGCCATGTTATATGTGGTAAATACAATACAACATCTAGATCTGATTGATTTAAAATTCACAGAAAGTAACCAGCCTTATTTAGAAGCAGATTTAATTCTTACCACTATTGAGAGGGCTAGAAAACACAAGTCAGTTCTTTCTACACCAGAATAGGATCTTATCAAAATGGCAAGAATCAAACCAGGGCCATACAAAACAAATGTGGCTATGAGGACATATTTGACTTCAAGCTCTGACCACCCTTTATGGTTATGAACAGAAAGTTGAAAAAAGTAAGCCATTCACCATACAGTATAAATATAACTTTCCTATTTTCTATGTGGATTTCTACTATTTGGATGTGTTAGCCACACGAAGGGGAAGAAAATCACCTATCTGGAAAGAACTTTCATTAAAAAAATACTTAAAGCAACTGCCAATATCAATGGCCAACAAAAAAGATCAATTATAATTGTGTAATGTTGGAGTTATACCTAAAGACTAAAATGGCACAATAGATTCTCTACTGACCAAAGTCAATTTTCAAGACAGAGTTCCAATAGAAAGTGATTCTGAAAGTAAAATAGACTGTTGACATTCTACTATTTCTTTATTTGCATAAAATGTCCAATAATTAAATCAAAATCATGTATGTCCATATTTAAAAAAAGTCTTTTTTTTTATGAGAAAAGGTAATTATTTTTATTAGTCATTTTAATACCCATTTAATAACATATCATAAAAAAATTATGTAGAGTTTAATATTGAATGTAACACTGTGCTACAAGAGCTTAAACATTCACAATCGAAGTATGCTTTAATTCATGGACATTCAAAAATAACAGAAATTGTGGTGTACATAATACTTTATGATTAAAAAAGACTAAAGCAAGGTGGAGGCTTAAACTCTGCATTGTTTAGAATACTAAAATGCTCAAAACAAGTGAAAAACTATTTGCCAGGCAAAGACATCTATGAAGAACAGAAATTTCAGGAGAGGTTTTGAAACTGTTTCTTAATGCTAAGTTAAATATGGTATTTAAGTATATGGGATTAAATCACAAATGATGGTAATGAAAATTACATTTTACATCTATGGAGAAGGAGCATTTGTAGATGACATTATTAATCATAGCTGAAAGTGAGAAACAACTACAAAAGAATCTAGCCATCAGGAATTCGACATTAGAAGGAATGATTCTTAAACAAAAATAAAACTAAAGTAATGATAGTCAGTAAAGAAATGTAACAGATAAATAATGCAAATTAGTAGAACAAATACAGAACAAGTAAATAGTTTTTAAATATCTAGAAGTAGACTTAGAAAAACACGAACAATCCAGAATTAGAAATAAATAACAAAATAAATAAGACACTAAACAAAAATATGTCTAAGTGTATATACAAACTAATGCCAGCAATTGGATGTGAATTAGTTACCAAACCAAAAAATAATATAGTAAAATCGAAATATCTTTGATGAGTTAAGTCAACTTATAATCCATTTTTCGAAATTTCACATTATTATAAAATATTGATCTCTAATAGCTTTAAATCTAATTAATCTCACACTCTCAATTAATTAGACACATCTAAATGATCATAAATACATTACTTATAATATATAAATTAAAACAAACATAAATCACATAAATCTGTATTGTTTCTCTTTAAATAAAACTTACGACATAAAACACCAGCCTCGTGGTCATCACCACAAACATTACAGGTCCTTAAATCCTTTCTAGGCAATAAAATTTTCAGGACATAATAGGGATCACCAAATTTTCTTTTCCATCGTTTTTCTACTGAGCGCCTATGTTTAGGAACTGCCCATAAAAATCCTTCGCCTATTATATCTTTAATAGAAAATTTGGGCAGATTCTGATGATTTTTGTTTAATTCTATTCCTGCTAGGCAAAGTGCATCTGTCAAAAAGTAAGGTTATGTTAGGTCATCAATTTAAAAATCCTCGAACATTATGTAATATATGAAATCATTACCTGGTGGAAAACCTCTTCCAAAAGTGTAAAATACATAATGCTTCAAATTTTGAACTGCTAAATTAATTCGCGTCAAAATATTAGCAGACATCTTAGAGGTTAGAAAACGTAGAAATCGTGATTGGTAATGGTAAAAGGCGCACGGGGTAGTGGGACTGCGGCGACGTCGTGTTCGTTGGTGGAAAGGCGCTTGTGAGGTGCTTCGCCACGCTTCTTAGTCGGTGATTGCGGTCTCGCAGCAGTCTTAACGATGGCTTCTTTAGGATATAGTAGAATTTGTGCCCGTGTTCATGAAAAACTGTGTCAGTGGGGACATTCACAGATAACCAAAAAAACAACTTGTGTGCGCGCAAAAATTGGATTTTTCACGCTGACAAGGAATTATTCTGAAAATACAACAAAGGTTTGTTTTCTTTGATTAAACTTTTATTATTCTTATTTATCTTCCTCTTCTTTTAATAATTAATTGACTCTTACTTTTAAGAGGACCAGTTGACAACGAAAACGAAAGTAATTTTTTGGTTTACATGAAAATAACTTTTACTTTTTGCTCGAGCATTCGAAAGTTTATTGATGATGAGTTTATTGTATTAATTTCTCGTCCTACATACACTTTGAGTTAAAATACTGGTTGAATATCTCCAGTTTGAGACACCTGTTATATTACATCTTTATTTTCGCTTTTACTTTCTTTATAATAGCCATAATGTAACAAAACAGATGCTAAAGACTTTGCAGTTTATTCACAAATTGATAGGAAGTTTCTCTTCTGTTGTAATCAATTATATTCTAATTTAAATTATATTCAAATAATATTTTTGTTAAGTGTACCCGATATTCAAAATAAGAGCGGAAATGAGTATGTATAAATGTATAAACCGGAAATTTTAGTTTTGGATTGTTTAAATTTTACAATCTTTTACATGTGTACCCATTTACCCTAATGCAGTATATACTTAATGCTTTTTTCAATTAAAACATAGATAACTATAGTATAAAATACAATAAAACAGGAATATAAACAACTTGCGCAAACATGATACTGGAAAGTTTTAATGTATATAATAATAGTGTACATATTTTTAACTTGTGATGAGCTATGAATCTATCAATTATTTTTTCTTTTAAGATCACTATTGTGTAAATATATGCATATTATTTAATAATATCTACTTTTAGAAATATTTAGGACCAAATCTGCTTTAGAACAAATTGCTAGCAGTGACTTTATAGCATCAAATACAAATTATTAAAAAATGTATTTTAGGATTTAATTGCTTTTTTTATTTTTTATTATGTATTTGCAATTTTTTTTACTACTGGTGTCTAAATTGCCTTTATACATATTCATGCCAACCTTTATTTCATTTTTATACAAATATTAGGTACCTACATTATTATTAGTTAGTGACATTCACACAAAAAATTGTATTTTTTTAAATAGATCTGTGTACTTTTTCTACAAATATTACATACAAATATTGTTACACCATTTTCTTTGTAATAAATCTTCTCTCTTCCCTCCACTTTTATATTTTTTGTTCATTTATAAATATTTTTTATTCTGCACTGGATCATATTCCTTCACTTTTAAATGTTCCATCTGTGCATACTATTAAATAGCTTCATATTCCTTCTTATTTTACCTATTAGGTATTTTAATAACTAACAATATTGTTAGCTTTTTATGAGGTGTGTTGTTCGGAGAGTGTATTCGGATTTAGACATGCCCCATTTGCTGCAAGCAAGCAGTCGCAGCTGTCTTCTGTCTCTTCAAGACATACTTTAGTGCTAGGATATTTGCTGTTCTGTGGTTCTTCTGAGGATGTATTTTAATAACTGTTAATTTTCTTCTTCTTGTATCACATCACAGCTATCTGTACCTTATTGGCGGCTGCTCTGAAAAGATCTACTAGGCTGCAACTATACCACTTTCTTAGGTTTCTTAGGCAGGAAATTCTTCCTCTTCCTATGAATCTTTTGCCCTTGATTTTACCTTTCATTATGAGCCTTAATCATATTTCACACCACTGGTAATATGGCCTAAATATTCCAGCTTTCTTGTTTTGATGTGCTTTATAACCTAGCAATCCTTTTATAGCCTTCTTAACACTTCTACATTTTTAACTCGTTGGGTCAAACATTTGTAACTCGTTGAATCATCTCAAATAATTCAAACTTCTTTATATTATCCACTTTTAGTGTCCAGCTTTCCGTTCCATACAACAAAGACGAGAACACGTAGCATCTTAAGGCTCTTATCCTAAGCTCCAGAGGAAGTTCTCTATTAACGAACATTGTTTTCATTTTTATAAATGCTTGTCTTGCAATTTCAATGCGTGTTTCTCTGCCTTGGTCATTGTTTTCATTAACACAGGTTCGAAGATATTTGTAGTTATTATTCACTCTTTCTACTTGTTTTCCTTCGATATCTAGCCTTCCTACTGTATGTTGCTTAAAAATAATCATGCACTTGGTTTACTTAACGTTTTTTGTAGTCCATATTTTATAATGTCTTGATGTAATCTATTTACTAAGAGTTGCAGTGCTTCTAGACTGTTTGCACCGCTTAAACAGCGGTGTCGTCTGCGAATCTTATGTTGTTCAAGATTTTTCCGTTTATCGATATACCCTGTTGTTCCTCTAATATTGCTTCCTTAAAAATAGCTTCGCTGTACAGATTGAATAACAATGGGGACAGCACGCAACCCTGTTTAACACCTCTTTTGACCTCTATAGTTTCTCTATCGTCATTTTCGATTCTAACCTTTGTTTTTTGATTCCAGTACATATTGACAATAACCCATATAGCTCGACTATTAACATTCTTTTATTTCATCAGTTTTACGAGTTTCTGATGTCGTACTCTATCAAAAGCCTTTTGATAATCTATAAAGCAGACATAGAGATCCTGGTTCATATCTAGTCGTCTTTAAACGTTAAAAGCGAACAGAGCTCTCGTTCCTAGTCCTCCTTTGAATCTAAAATTTTTTTGTATAGTCTTCCATGTATTATTTTGAGAAATATCTAAGTGTGTGGCTTATTAAGAAAATTGTTCTGTACTGGAAGCATTCTGTCTCATGAACTGACTTTCATAGTGTTACAAACGTGGACAGCAACCAATCTTCGAGTATCACTCCTGTTGTATATACTTTGTTAAACAGATCTAAAAGTATATGCAGTATTTCGTCGTGCATGTAAATGTAAATGCATTTAATTAGCTCAGTAGGTATCTGATCTGGGCCTACTACTGATTTTGCGGTCTTTGAATCGTCACTTTGCGGTCAATTGCCTGTTCTAATTCGCACTATGTATTCTTGCCAAAATCTTAGTTTATCTTTGATGTCTGGAATGAGTTTACCATTGTCATCTTTGAGTATCCCATAGTGTGCTCGCTTTTTGGTATTTGTTTTAGTTCTTTTATTTTTTATGCATATTAAAGCTGTCGTATTTTCTGTCATACTCTTTTATTTCTGTACATTGATTTGTTATCCACTTTTCCTTGTCCATTTTTATTTCTACTTTAATTCTACTTTGTAATTCTTGATCATTTCTCCCTTTGGCTTTTCTCCTCTCTTCCATTAATGCTAGAATTTCACAAGTCACCACTTCTGTTTTTTATTTGTCTTTTTAGGTTTTAAATTTCCTCTTCAGCCTTTAGTAATGAGTTCTGAATATTGCTCCACTTTTCATTGACATCTTCTGATGTTAAGATTTCTTCTCCTACTTCTGATAGATTTGAGTTGATTTGTTGGATCACTTTTTGATGTATTTCTCTTTTTATTAATTTTGTATAATCAAACGTTGGTTTATTTTTAGTTATTACAATATTTTTGAGTTTCACGTGCATTCTAGCTATCAGCGGGTTATGGTCCGAGTAGACATCTCATATAGTCTATTTGATTTCTGACTATTCGGCTTTTGTTGTCTTTAGGAGATCTCCAAATTGAATAAACATTTTCAAATATCGCCTCAGTTGGCAGAAGCTATGTATAATTTTTATTACCACAGAAAGATATATCTGAGAACTAAGTAAAGATAAACAAATTGATAGGTACCTACTAGATATAATAATTTAGTACTACCACAGAGATCAGTATTTAGTCATCTGTTGTTTGATATTTATACTGCGGATTTGCATAAAGTTACTTACCACAGACATTTTTAGATTTCAAATAATACAATGTGATGATGTTCTTCTGTATTGACAGGCCAAAACTTATGATAGTTGTTTTAATTCATGGTATATCTTCCTATTCTACCTTATGACGAATTCAATGCTGTGTTAATTCATGGTATATCTTCTTCTTCTGGTAGCACTACAACCCGGGGTGGGTCTTGGCTGACTGCACAACCTGCTTCCATCTCGAACGGTCGTCCATGATGTTTAAGTCAGTGGATAGCCCCATTGTTCTCAAATCTGACCATATATTATCTCTCCATCGCATTCGTGGACGTCCTAAGGGCCTTCTCCCTGTCGGGACTTCTTCCCAGATTAACTTGGTAAGGCGGTTATTAGGGAGCCTATGAACATGGCCAGCCCATCTTAGACGTTGGGATTTAATCTCTTGGACTACGTCGCTAGCACTATACATTTGTTTGACCTCGGCATTTGTTCTCATTCGGTATTGATTGATTGATGATCTCATTGATTTTGTCAGCGTCCATGTCTCACACCCATACATGAGCACCGGTCTAATCACTGTTTTATATATCCTGATTTTTAATGTTCGTGTTAGGCTCTTGGATTTAATAGTGTTGTGGAGGCTATACATACATCTGTTTGCTGCCTGAATTCTCCCTTTTATCTCTTCCGTGATGTCGTTTATTAATATCGTTAATTCATGGCTTATTCAAAACGGGTTTGAAATTGCTCCAAACAAATCTAATGTCTGTATTTTCACTCGACACAATATAACAAAAATAGATAAAATTTATTCGCTATGACTATACATTTTCTTCATCCGCCAAACATTTAGTAATGATTCTGTATCGTAAAGGGACTTGTAAATTACATCTTGAGTTTATGATAAATTGATGAAATATGGGTTTAAATTTTTTTAAAGCAATTTCAAAGACGTGGTGGGGTGCCGATTATATAGTTTGCTTATGGATGTTTTCTATATGGTTCAGCTTCTAAACATATTCTAAACAGAGTAAACGTTATACAAAACTTTTGGACTACGTATTTATTTGGGA